GGGAATATATGTTGATTACAAGGTGTTAATCTGCGTTATTGTAAAAGGTTTTCCAGGCATAAGATAACCCTTCTGCATCTCTATGATTAATGCATCCCTTATTTATGTGTGCCTGTATGTAGCAAGAGGTCAAGGTATATTGGGATCAAGCCTCAATCATTAGAGCCACAAATTCCAAACAAGCAGTGAAACACCTTGAAAAGATAGAGATACACAAGGCACACATAAATAAGGGATGCATTAATCATAGAGATGCAGAAGGGTTATCTTATGCCTGGAAATCCTTTTACAATAACACAGATTAACACCTTGTAATCAATGTATATTCCCCCTTTCTTTGGCAGCTTTATTATTTTTATGTTATTTGCAAGTTATTTATAGATTTTCAGAAGATGCAAGTCCGATGAATTACGCATGCGCATTTTGGTTTCTGTTTAATTTGTATTTCATGCATTCTTTTTTTAGTGTTTTTTTTAATATTGGTTCAACTGAAGATGGTCGTTTAAAAAAGGTTGAAAACGTTTTTATTAAACATTTTTTATTGCTGGATAGTTAAAGGTTTATTTTATTTTATATATTAAAAAAACATTAGGAAAAGTTTATTGTAAACCATTTTGCAAATGAAGACATTTCAAACCAGACTAAGTATTGCATTCTCCAACATTTTGAGAGTAGACTACCAGCACAAAGAAGAAAGAAATGTGGTAGAAAATTTAAAATTGTAATGTAAGCCAATTTAGGAGGATTGAAGAGGACTTTTAAAAACAATGACAAGGTTTCAGTTTGATCTGTAACCATGAAACTGAAATTCTCATGTATTTCACTCTGCAAGGCTTTGAAAATAAAAACACCTATTAAATATTGAAAGAAGTAGATAATTTCAGACCAAATGGACATGCAAAGATCACTGGCAAAGATGAAGTGCAGAAAGTTATTGTGAAAGTTCTTCATGTTAGAGGATGAATTTTAATTTACCTCTTGCATTTAATGATCAATGGTAATGGTGGATTTTACATCAGTGATATCTCCTCTACACCTGCCTGCTGATGTAAAGTTTGCCTTCTAATTTCTTTTTTCTTGGGAAGTTTTGATTTGGATTTCAATGGGACTGATGAAATTGAGCAAGCCTTAATCAGAAAAAGTTTTGCTATTAATGCCAGCAATATTTAAATGAATGTATAAGATGTTGCTTGATTCATTATATTTGAAAGAATTATCCTCAGTCAGAATACATCTTCTAACAAGATCAAACAAGTTCCCACTATGCCAAAACTACCTGGTTACCTGCAAGGAAACATTGTCTTTGTCTAAAAGGAGAATAATTATGCAAGCATGCCAGAAATTAGGCCAATTGAGATAATTCTCAAGGTAGAAGTTTACAAAAGGGATGGAAGGCAAAAACACTGATCAATTGCATAAAGTATTGTCTGAAAAATGTGAACCAAAGTCTTGTACAGAAACTTGCACTGCATACCCAAAGTCAAATTGACCATATTCAACAATAGGGGCTTGTAGAATTACAAAAGTAAAAGTTATTTGAACAGTGATGAAAAATTGTACATTATCTATTTAGTTCATAGTGTTTCTTTTTTTCCATGGTAAAAAACTTTATTAGATAAACTTGTATAAATTTTTTCCAGGCAATCAATGTTGCTGAAAAGTTCTGTTTTACACATTTGTTTTGTTTCTCTTTAATTTCCATATTATTATTACAAGTAATAGCTTATTTTTATATTGCAGTCATAATATGCATGCATACCATAAGCATTATTATTGCTAATGCAATTTATATAGCTAAAATCTTTTATAAAAGTCATCTATGTGTGTTGTGATTGATCTCTGAAATTATATATTAATTATAACAGTTTTATAATAATAATATTATTATATAGAAAAACAAAGAGAGCAAGAAACAGAAAACAAATTTTTTCATAATTTAATCTAATTTTACTAAAGGGAACAAAAATACAAATTATAAAAGCATTCCAATAAATATTTGCAGAAACATAAAATAAACAAACATTATTTATTTATAAATATTTTAATTACTGTTTTATAAAATTTCAGACTATCTTATTAATATTATTAATTAATGAAAAATATTTTCAGGCTGCAAAAGAAAAGGCAAATGAACGTAAAGACAACACCACCGACGAATAAAATATTAAAAAGCAAAATATCAATTATTTATTATGTATGAAAAAATTTAATCAAAATTAATTAAAATATAAATATATTTTGTTAACAAAATTATTTATACTTTTACCATTATTCATATAAATGATATTTTTAGTCATTGTGATGATTTTTTTAATAATTTCTGTTATCTGAAATCTATAATAAATACATTATTGCATAGATAATAGGGGAAAAAGTTAAAAAATTAATAAATAATATAATAATTCTTACTTTTAATTATTATTAAGTTTATTAAAAATTCCTAACTTGAATAATAGTCTGCTCGATTTATCATTTACATAAGATGAACTTGAGGATTCAATTCAAAAAATGAAATTAAAATCAGCTCCTTGTATTGACTTAATAACTCCCAAATTTGTCAAATTATTACCCCCTTCGGGCAAACAACTATTACTCGACTCATTCAATTACTTTTATAAAATGTTAAAATATCCAGAAATTTAGAATACTGCTAAACTAGTCATGATCTATAAAAAAGGACTTTGTACAGAACCTGAGAATTATCGTCTGATTGCTTTACTACCGGTGTTAAGGAAATGCTTTACATCCATCTTAGCTAATCGTTTTCAACGATGGACTCATGAAAGTAATCTTAACTCTGAATTTCAATACGCCTTTATTAAATCCAGGGGTACAGAATTTGCTATCTTCTTATTATCTTCAATTATTCAAATATATTTACAGAAAAAAACGTAGGAAAATATATGCAGCCTTCATTGATATCACCAAAGCCTTTGATTCTGTTCATGTTCCAACATTGGTAAATAAATTAAAACAAAATGGTGCAGACAATAGATTTTCAGATTCGATTATGTATCTTTTCTCTTCTTATAAACTTCATATTGTAAATGGTAACTTAACTAATCCAGAAATTATTACAAATCGAGGAATACTTCAGGATGAACCGCTTTTACCGTATCTTTTTAATTTCTACATAAACGACATAAATAATTTATTTGATAAGGATAACGAAGGAATATACATTAATGGACGTTGTTTTCACTATATTTTATATGCAGATGATTTAGTATTATTAGCACCAACTCGTATAACTTTACAGCATAAAATTGATAGAATAAATAAATATTTATCATCATTATATTTATCGATCAACGCTTCAAAAACAAAAATAATTATTTTTAGAAAGAATCTTAAACTATCTAATCAAGAAAAAGATCTCTATTTAGACAGCAGACCTCTTGAAACTGTTAACAACATAAAATACCTGGGTATTACTTTTAGCTGGAATGGTTTATTTCAAAAGCATTTAAACATCCTTACTACAAAAATCAATTCACTTATTGATAACACTATATATTTATGTTCAGCATTAAAGATTTCTGATTTAAAACTCCAAATAAAATTTTTTAATGCTATAATTCTTTCTTCAATATTTTATGCCAGACCAATCTGGGCTCTTGACCATTTTTATAAACTTGAAAAATTTCATATTACTTACTTGTAAAATATTCAGGCTTGAGAGGACAGTACCAGGTTATTCTATTAGAGCAGAAACAAACAGAATTCAACTATTTCCTTGGTTTTTAAAGAGACTAATAAAATTTTACTATCGACTTATAAATACAGACGATAAGAATATAAAATTTTTACACCAAAATATGTATCAAACTAATGACTTAAATTCTACTAATCATACTTGGCAATAAAAGTTTAATAATATACTTCGAACATACGGAATTTCAAGTGTGATATTCGATAGATCTGAAACAGATTGGAAAAATGGTTATACAATAATAATGATGGAATTGGCTATATCGCAATCAATAATTCAAGATCAAAATTCAATATTGAAATCAACTTATCATCCTTGGTACCCCAAGATTTTAAAAATACCTTCCAATTCCTGTTTTATTATAACCAATATAAATATGAGCATTAAACGACTATTTTTACAACTCCGTCTTAATAAATATTCTTTACTGGTTAATAATACTTACATAGATTTTACCAATCAAACTTGTTATTGGTGTAAGTCAAATAACTTTCTGTGTCTCATCTGTTGAAAGACTGTACAGCTATAAAAAAATATCGTCAAAAATATCAAATAATAGAAATTCTTGGTATGAACTACAATTCAAAATATACCTCAAGATTAACTAATTTATCAAAAATTAATATGTACAAACTAAACAACTTCTTTACTCGAATATGTTTAATATGTTTAATAATGATGATGATAATTAATTCCGGTTAACTGCATTCGACAATAATTTCATTTGTACTTATTGGAGACATGTTTTTATTGTTATAATTGGTAATAACATATGTTGTATTTCTATTTATAAATTTATTATGTTTGTTATTAAAATATTCCCCCTGTAACAAGGTTTTATCCTTAGTACAATAAAGTATTTGATTGATTATCATTAAGTTTCATTAAACTGGCAAATATTAATTATTTTAAGAAAACAATGAATGATAAATGAGTGTAAATTATGTAGTGAGTATAATAAATACAATGTAATAACAAATCCAGAATTAGAGGGGAATGCAGAAAGGAAACAATATTCCTTTAAAAATTTTTTACTACCTGGGGTATTCAGTTTTACTCAAGAAAAGTCCCCAGAAGCAGAGTGCAGCTACACCCTATGCATCTTCCTAAATCTGATAGGAATGGTGAACACAATGTTTGTCAGTTGAAAAAGTTGGTTTATATTGTGTTTTTCATTTTTATAGGAATATATGTGTAACAATTTAGTTAGCGAGGTAATTACTCTAAATTTTGTGACAATTTTTCCACTTGGAAAAATTACATCAAAGAAATTAATTAAGAATTACTGAATGTAGAAATCATACTTTACTGTATAATGAGTAGGTTACATTCAATAAACAATTATTCATTGTGACAATGTCACAATGCCATGCTACAATTTTTAATCATATTTTTAATTTATTTAATTTAAAATATATGCACTCCACCTTAAATTAGTACTGTAGTGTCTTGCCCCTGTACATCATACTTTTCCATTAGTAATGGAGTCATGCCAGTCATTTATCTAACTCCTTTCAAAGGAAAAGTTTTGAATTGAAATAATGTGACTTTTGGTTTGCATTGGATGTTCATATATAGTTATTTAGGGCCTCATGCTCCTAATCTAAAAAATTGTAATTATTAAAAGTGTTGGAACCATGTTTAAAACAATGCAAGACATGATTAAAATAATAATATAATACACAACAGTCAAATTAAAGATTAATTTGAGAGTGCTGTGTATTACTTTGTTATTTTAAGTGTCTTTTATATGTTGTAGTTATAACAGTTGGCCAGCTTGTGTATTACTTTATTGTTTTAATCATGTCTTGCATTGTTTTAAATATGATTCCAACACTTTTAATTACAATTTTATCCATAAAGTATTCAAATGATTATTGCCAAATGTCAAAATTCCTTTGTATGATTTGGAATTGTAAATATGTCAATTTTATGGAAAATTTGTAAAAAAGCTGAGGAGGGACCATAAGTCTGAAATTCATACTATTAAAAATAAATTGATATATTGAAGCTGGTCTTGCGTGTGATGATGATGTGATAAGTCTAGAAATAAAAGAGGTCATTATAGAGCTCATCAATATATGTTTTTTTTAGAACTTTTTTAATTTCAATTTTTTGTATATACAAGTATTATTGGCTTTAGTGGGATATCTTGTAAAGGAGTTGTGCTGTTGGTTTCTGCCTTTTACTCTGTATTTCTCATTTTTTCTGGTATGATTAGTTTCTAATTCATTTCAGGTCAAACTTTGAATGAATAATACATATAGAAGCTAATATTTTTTATATGAAACTTTAAAAAAATCAAACCATGACAAGTATAAAGTGTAGTAGACAATTCAAACTTTCATTAGGGAAGCTGATGAATTGTTGTGTGCTGCTCAGAGCAAAGAAGAAGAATATGATTTGGAAGAGAGAGACATTGAAGGGAGAAAGAAAAAATGAGTGTCCAAACATTGTGCAGATCTATAATGAATTTATGGGTGGAGTGGACCTCATAGACATGGAAAAACTTTTGAAACAGATGGAAAATTTAAAATTACATATTATTTTAGATTAGATTTTATTTCAACCTTTCAATGATCTTGATATTTCTGTGAGCAATGCCTTTATTGTTTGGTAAATACTCAACCAAAATTTTAAAAATGAAGTCCATCGACTTCAGGAGATCTCTTGCATGAAGACTTATCAGAACTAGTGTTGCAATGAATAGTATAGGCCCTATTCGGTCTCAGGCCAAATACTGAATATTTGGCCAGGAGCGTGGCCGAATAGCCGAATATTCAGCCAAACTATTCGGCTTGATTAAAGCATGTATGAAAATTGGCTTGCAAATTT